AGAAATTACCCTTATCTGCTTTTGTAACAACTAGATTATTGGTGGAAACTTTTTTGGCAATATTTTTGTTGGTTTTGTTGCCTGACATGTGGAAAGAACGAGTAGGAGAAGGTTTAGAAAAATTCTTATTCGATGACCTGGCAATATTACTTCTTAACAAGTCCTTATTGGGAAACAGGTTTCTTTCAATGACTCTTCCACATTCTGTGGATAAAAGTTTGAAATTGGGGACATTATTGAATCTATCTAACCATGGGTCACCCTGTTTATTTTTCTAATCGCTATTCAACTCGAGCAGCCCATATTATACCCATTCATTTTTGTTACTAAGATCACGGCTTGCGGGATAGATAGCTTGCAGGTCGCCTGGTCACGTGTCATCGATCGTTTGATATCTGTCACCGGCCCTCTGTCAAACGTCATCTGCCATACATCAAACATTAGCTGTCTGATATGATTGCTGAGCCCACCTGAAGTGTAGTGGTCTTCTCATGAGTCGCCCTATATATTTTATCAATTTATATTCAACTCAAACACCCTATATATAAATATTCAACCTTGTTATTGGCATCGATGTGTTATTACTGTTCTCATCAGCAGCTTACTGCTAGCTCGCTCGTCGGAGTCGGATGATTTTGAAGGGGACCAAAAATTACAAAAATGACCTCAAAATTCGCTGAAAAAGTCCGTAGATCTGAAGAAAAATCTGATCTGCTCTACATGGGCTCTCATAGGACCCGGATCCTTTTATCTCTATCATGTATACTTTGCTTTACTCAACAGTGTGTCGACTTTCTAAAGTCTTCATATCCCGTTTGAATAGCATCAAAATAACTGAAATATTACGTTGTTCTGAATACCATACTGTGCATATATTCGCTGCTTCATAATGTTAAGGTCCCTGGTTCAATTCCCCAGCGGCGACAGCTCTACTCTTCATTCATGATGATGACGTGAAGTCGCATGAATTATTCGAATTACGCGCCAGTTCTTAGTGGGTATGGCCTCCAACCAAATGATTGCCCCTGATTGGCTTGAGCTGATAGTCACAGCCCCTCTACTGCTAATGCAATTTTTGTGCATTCTCAAATGTTGAACAGGACTCAGCTAGTAATCTTCGTTACAAACTTTTATCTTTAACGCCACAAACGAGTCTAATATCTCATATCTCAGCATTTCTGTGAGCAGAGTGGTGCTGGAATTACAGTCTTCTGCCAATTCACGTAGCTCACCAATGTACGATGAAATAGTCTCGTCAGGTTCTTGTTCTCCTCCATGAAAACGAAAACGACCAACGATTTCAGACTCCTTTGGAGAAGAGTTCGCATTGAATGAGCTTTTCTATGAGATCCTTGAAGGTTAAATCTTCAACCTCTGTGGGTGATGCCAAAGAATGTGCTATTTCAAATGTTGCAGACACACGAATGCTTAGAAAAACTACTCTTTTCTTTGTGTCTGCTTCAACACCGTTAGTTTGTAAGTAGAATTCGAAACGTTGGAAGTACAACTTCCATTTTTGAAACTCGTTTGATGGTTCAATGTTTCCGATTGTTGCAATATTTTGTATCTTCTTTCCCTATTCTGACCGCGCCAAATTAATGTGTTTATGATACACAAGTAACCAGTAGGTTCTCAGACGAAATACTATTGATACATGGAAAAATATGTATTCAAAGTGGCATTTGATTACCAACAAGTTTCTAGAAACGATTGCCTTCTTCAAGTACTGAGTGTTTTGTTTCAGTGTACGAGCCAAGTAGTGTTGTGTACATCGAAATCGCTCATAATGATAATTACTGTTGCTAGATGGTCCTGCTGAATTAGGTGAAACTTCAGGAACAAGAACTCGAAGAACTCTGTATGAGATTAGATAACTACAATGTTTTTCGTTGTGATCGCTCTGAATCAACGAGTGAGAAATATAGAGGAGGTGGTATACTGATTGCCATCCACGAGCGCATAAGTGCGAGAACATTGACCTTGGCGAATAAGGATACCGAGCAGCTGTTTATCCTTTGCAAGTATATCGAGAAGGATTTTATTATTGGCGGAGTATATCTACCGCCAAACTCTTCTGAAGAAAAATATCTATCTCATGGTCAGGTTATAGAGGACTCACGATCTGAATATCCTCTGCTAGACTTCTATGTTAATGGAGATTTCAATTTGCGAGCAATAACTTGGGTGAACGGTAATCTAGGCGCAGCTGCAGCTGGTCATCAAAATGATTCTTCTGCAATATTAGCCCAGTCCTATGCTTTCTTGAATTTTTATCAACACATTGATATCCCTAATACTAGAAATGTATTTTTAGATTCATTATTTTCTAATTAAGAATCTGTTAATGTGAGTTTGGCAACAATGGATCCACTTTTTCCCAGTACGATACATCATGAACCATATACCTTCAGCATTCATGCTAATAATATGGGAGTACAGGCGCTCAAATATGTTGAGTACTATTTTGATTTTACGAATGCTGATATAGTTGGTTCAAATAATTTTCTGGCACCGATAAATTGGTCAGAATTTTTAGACACTAGCAATGTAAATACAGCTGTTGAATCACTTCATCAAGTTCTGTATTCGGCATTAAGAAAATTTGTCCCTTTGAAGCAATATAAGGTATCTTCTTTGCCGAAATGGTTTGACGGGAATTTGAAGAAATTGGTTACTCAAAAGAAAATCATTCATGGAGAATATAAACAAACAGGCAATATGATATATTATCAGAGATTTGTTGATCTTAGAATACAATGTGAAAACTTATCAAAAATATGCTATGAGCAGTACTTGAATAAAATTGGAAACAACTTATCAAACGATTCTAATTCTTTCTGGGAATCTGTAAGTGATATGAACTCGGCTTACAGTTTTCCCAAAAATATGATTTTGGAAAACAAACTCGCTAGCGATGGATAACGCAGATGTTTGCAGACTACTTTTCAACGATTCATGTCAATAATCAGAATGTTGCCCATGAATCTGTAACATATACTACAAAACACGACATTAAATGCTCTAACTTTTCAGTTTCTACAGTTTATAATCATAATGAAATCATCAAATATTCCACAGCCATTAAATTCCTTGGGATATTTCTTTCTGAACATTTGTCATAGTCCAGATATATTGAATCGATCAGAAAGAAAATATCTCCAATACTCTACACCAGTACTCTACAGAATCAGACACTAAATCACTTTGAAATACTTGAAATGTATATATTTTTCCTTGGTTTATTCAGAATTACAATACTTGATTTCAGTTTGGGGTATCAGTTCCATTTTGATCGGATTGTTTTTTATGTTCTTCAAAAGATATATAAAATTTATCCGATGATATTCCGTGATATCGACTGTAGAATATACCTCAATTCATTGCAAACGTCTACTGTATTTATATCGATAGTCTGTTCAATGATATCTTTTCAAGGTAAAAAGAGATAGATATCTTGCAGAATCATTCATTACTCAAGAATTGTCACGTGGTGAAAGAAAAAAATGAAAAAAAAAATAGTTGAAACTGAAATTATTAAGTGAAATTCATGCAGGTTAATAACTGAATATTGTGAAGGAACAAATTCATGCAGGTTCATTACTGAATATTGTGAAGAAACAAAAAGAATTTTATATAACTAGTTACACTTGGATCCTCAGTCAATAAGGGTGGAAAGTGCAAAAACATACTATCAAATACCAGTAAAAATTATGATAAAAATGCATTCGTGCTTGATGAACTGTTGTTATGGTCCAAACATATTGAATTGATCAGAAAGAAAATGTCTCCAGTAATCGGAGTACTCTACAGGATCAGACACCAAATCACTTTGAAATACTTGAAATGTATATATTTTTTCTTGGTTCATTCAAAATTACAATACTTGATTTCAGTTTGAGGTACAGCTAGATTATCAATTATAAATCCATTCAAAATCCTTCGAAACAAGGTCATATTAAATGTATATACAAACTATATTACTTGGAACCAACAAGAAGTCTTTATAAACATAGGCAATTGTTAGATATTAACTCCATTTACATATTCAAAATATATAATCTCATCCATTCCGTCAAATATAATTATAAACATTCAAATCTGAATTTTGAAGTCAATAGTCATAAACAGGAACACATAACCAGACAAAAAGATATGTTAACTCTCATCGAAATTGAATCAGAAATGGGTAAAAGATCTATTTTATACAATGGATAAATCGTCTGAAAGTCTGTCCAGCAAAAGTGTGAAATAATTCGTGAAGAATAGTTTGAATAACCAGTAAATAAATATGTACCAGTCTCCTTGAAAGCCTTTGATGGATCCATGTGAGTGAACAAATTTAAGATAAAGCATTTACATTAGGATTTGAAAAGGCTATTACCTATCTCATACCAAATCTGTGCCCGAACCCAGGGTATAAAAAGCGATTGATAAATAAAGGAAGAACCGTTGCCACCTTGTGACAAAATAATGGAGAAACTATACGATGCATTGATGCAAGTAGAGCAGCGTCTGAAAAACACGATAGAAGCCAGTGAAGTGAAGATACTGATGAAAATCGAAACAGTTAATGAGAAAGTACGTAGTCTTGAGAAAGAAAACATCGAATTGAAACAACGAATCGAATTGTTAGAGAGGGATTCTAAGAAGAATAACCTCATTGTTTTTGGTTAGGCTCAAAAGCGAGAAGATATTTCAATTACTCACATATGCAATCAACTGAACACTTTGCTTGATATAAAACTTACTGAGGCAGATATCAGTAATTTATATTCACTCGGGAAATCTGATAGGAGTCCGATTAAAATTGAATTCGTCTCTACCTTCACGAAAATAAATATTCTACGAAACGCCAGAAAATTGAAAGGAACTTCAATAATTATATCGCAGGATCTAACTAAGAACCAACAAGAGAGGAATAAAATTCTGAGAGATCGGTTGAAGGAGATCAGAGCAAATTGTTAAGATCGTTGTTACATCAAAGGTTAAAAACTCTACAGAAACAACATAGTTTATACCGTGGAAGAAATTCTTGAACAAAAAGAAATTGAAGAATCGGATTACATACTACAAACAAATAGTAACTCCAATACACCATCCAAATCCTTCAATTTTCCTACAAAACCCACTGAAACAAGTGATATAACCGAAGCCAAAAATACAGGTGCAATCAAGAAGATTGATATCAATAAAATTGAAAAGAAAGAAGAAGAGAAAGGAGAAAGGAAGGAAGAGAAAAAGGAAGATAAGAATAAGGATAAATCCACAAACCTCCTATCATTACAAACCATCAAAGATAGGTATAGGCTCAAATCTTCTCATCAATAAATTAGGTAGTGTAACGAGATAGATCCTGTACTATTAATGAGAGGGAGCTGATTTGGTTAACTTCCTGGACTATAGGGATATATGTTGAGAAGTCGTCAATTTTGATAGATTGATGTTGTTATAATAATTATTGATTGAACTGTCTAATATATGTTGATCTTTTCATTAACTCTTGCAGTTATTCTGTAGAATTGAATCTACTAAAGGTTAATTCAAACACCAGGCATTGCACCCGTAAGAACCCTATATATAAGAAGCAATTACTGATTACAAGATTCCACATTCAGCTGCGTTATCATCCGTTGACACAAAAAAAAACTTCCCCAAAACTATAATATACCCCCTGGTTCAACGTGAGTACACCTCTCCATTTGTATTTATACGCTCTCAAGAAGAATACTCAGAGACTTCCAAGGACCACTTCCACGAACGTTTTGGTGACTATACGACGAGTTTCATAAACGAATTGTAATTTTCCGTGTCGCGAAAATTTTTGGATCAATTTTCTCGTCATACTCGGTATATACTAATAATGAGTCGTAACAAACATAATAAAAGACAAAATGATTCAGTTGAACTTGTTACAACTGGACATTCATCGGTATCTCTTCCAGTTACATTTTCATCTGAACAATTCATAAATTTCTAAAGTTCTAGGCTCACGCAAGGTGATATCTTACCTGCTTCTAGTTTTTCTCAGGAAAGTTCTACCTTAAACAACGTGATTTTACCACCGGGAAACTTCTCGAAATGTACTGCTCGATTTGACGGGTCAGAAAATTCTTATGTAGATGCATTTTTGGACAGTGTTTCAACATATAAAGAATGTTCAAATGTCTCCGATAACAATGCATTTCGAGGTTTATCTATGCTTCTTGAAGGCATAGCTGCTACTTGGTGGCAAGGTATTAAACCAACAGTATCGAACTGGACCGAATCTGTCAAAGCGTTGAAGGATGCTTTCTCACAAAAATTACCACCTCATTTAGTATACAGGGAGATATTTTTTCGCGAGCAGGGGTCTGATGAACCAGCAGATATTTTTATTTGTCGAATCCGTGCTCTTATCGCGCAGTTACCATATACTTTAGAGGAAAGAGCGCAGTTAGATATGATATATGGGCTCTTAAGTAGACAAATCAAGAAAAGGATTCCTCGTCAGGATTTTGAAAGTTTCACAGATTTTCTGACACGCATCCGACAAATTGAACAATCTCTGAAACAGGCTACATCTGTGGGAGATAGACATCAGAAATCTGATGCTCACGATTATTCTCCGAAGAATAATCTCAAATTACGACCCAAATGTAGTTTTTGTAACAATTATGGTCATGTACGCGATGATTGCAGAAAATTAGAGAGAAGGGTCAATCAAGGAGAACGGAAACCAAGTCCAAATCGACAAAATGCTGTATCAACTAGTGATATCACATCTGAGAATACAAGTCGAATTGTATGTTACGGTTGTGGATCTACCGGAGTTTTAAGATCCAAATGTACGAAATGTAAAAATCGTTCTGATTCCATAACCACTAATTTAAATAATCATAGTAATACATCAAGTACTAATACCTCTGGTGCAACATTTTATGAAATGACCGTCCCGAAACTGGATGACAGTCAACTTTTCAAACCTCGCTTTAACATTTCAATCGATGGAGTGCAAGGAACCGGATTTGCTGATTCTGGAGCCCAAATCAGTATAGCTGGAAATTTTTTATATAGATTATTGAAAGAAAAAGGACATAATTTCTTGAAAACTTGCACCAAGGTATCGTATGCTGACGGAAGGGTACACGATGAGGAAGTATTGAAAACTGATGTGTTAATTCATATTGAGGAAAAGATAGTTCCTTTAGAATTTATGATTCTACCGAATGAACAAAACAATAACACTCTACTAGGCGTTGATTTTTTGGAGAAAGCTAAAATTGTTCTCAATATACCAGATCGCTGTTGGTATTTTTCGGATGATATAGGAAAATCGTTTATGTTTCATGAAGTCGACGGTGCATCACAAGATTCACGGGATTGTCTCTCGATGAATCTTCATTTGAGAGCTGATGAAGCAGATTCACTCACATCACATCAAAAGATAGTGTTCAACCAATTTTCGCAGGACTATTCTGAAATTTTCAAATCGGAAGGACCTCCAACTGATTTTGCAGTTCATAGAATCAAAATAGGAGATAACATTCCTATTGCTGTGCCACCATATTCTTTAAGTGGTCCAAAAAAAAAACAATTTCTCAAAGAGGAAATTGAAAGACTATTGGCTTCAGGCATAATTGAGGAATGTGAATCTCCATGGGCATTTCCTACGGTTATAGTTCCCAAAAAGAATGGTAGCTTTCGTTTATGCGTCGACTATCGCAAATGGAATGCAATCACCGTCAAAGACTCATATCCCATGCCAAGAATAGATGAGTTATTACAAACTGCGAAAAAGACCCCTTTTATGTCAACAATTGATCTTCAGTCTGGTTACCACCAAGTACCAGTTATTGCCGAAGATCGGGACAAAACTTGTTTTGTCACGCCTTTCGGTACGTTTCGCTATACTTGCATGCCTTTTGGACTCAAAAATGCACCGGCTACATTTGTCAGACTCATGGACAGATTTCGCGCGGGACTTGGTGAACGAGCAGTATTCGTATATCTTGATGATATTCTCGTATTATCGGAGACATTTGAAAAACATAGAGATGATTTAAAAGCAGTTTTTGATCGGCCTAAATTATTTAAGTTACGGGCTCGTCGGGAAAAATGCGTTTTCATCAGAAAGTGTGTCAAATATCTCGGTCACTTGATTACTCCGAACGGTATCGGGACGGATCCAGAGAAGACCGCGGCTATTGAAAACATGTCACCTCCTACTTGTACACGTCACGTACAGAGCTTTGTGCAAACATGTTCCTGGTATAGGAAATTCGTTCCTAATTTTGCGGAGAAAAGCAGGCCTTTAACGAATTTACTCAAAAAGAATTGTAAATTCAAATTTGGAGAGGAAGAGCTGAAAGCATTTGAGATACTGAAGGAATGTTTAGTCTCAACTCCAATTATGATCCAAGCCGACCCTACACAACCTTATATCTTACGAACAGACGCAAGCAATTATGCTCTCGGAACTGTTTTGAACCAGGGGGAGGGGCATATGGAACGACCTATTGAATACGCTAGTTGATTGTTGACATCATCAGAACGAAATTATTCAACTACAGAGAGGGAAGCGCTCTGTATAATTTGGGCTGTGGAAAAAATTCGCACGTATCTAGAAGGGGCTGAAGTCACAATCGCATCTGACCATCAACCATTGCAATGGTTATTTTCTTTTAAAACACCTTCTGGTCGATTAGCAAGATGGGCTCTACGTATCCAAGGACTCTATATGAAAATAACATACACACCAGGAAAAATGAATGTTATTGCTGATACCCTTTCAAGGCCTTTCTGTTCACATCCCGAAGAAACATCGAGTTGTAGTATTTGCTTCACTTCAGTCGATATGCCGAAAATGAATATAGAGAGCTTACGTGCTAAACAATTACAAGATCAAGAATTGTTTGAAATTATTCATGCTCTGGAAGGTTCCGATTCATTGGAATTCATAAGATGGTCTGATCGAGGTTACCATATGTCAAGTGGTATATTATATCGTCAAAATCCCGACGCCGAGAATGAAAACTTGCAATTAGTGATTCCATATCAGTGTCGTGAGGATATTATGAAACAGTACCATGATTCTAGTACTGCTGGACACTATGGGGTCGATCGAACTCATCAGAAGATATCTAAAAAATTCTTCTTCGTTGGTATGAGGAAATATATTGCTGATTACATCAAAAACTGTATCGAGTGCCAGCGATATAAAATCTCCAACCTTAAGCCGGCTGGTTTACTCCAATTTCCTGCACCAGCTCAACGCTTCGAGATTATTGCCGTCGATTTATTCGGACCACTTCCGGAAACTCCAAACAATAACAAATGGATTCTGATTGTGGAAGATGTTGCATCCAAGTGGGTTGAACTCTTCGCTTTGAAAGATGCCACGTCTGAATCTTGTGCAAAAACTCTAATAGAAGAAATTTTTCTTCGATATGGTACACCTAGACGAATGATATCAGACAATGGTGTACAGTTCATCAGTCACGTGATGCAAAAAATTACATTCTGTTTTGGAATAAACGCCTCTTTCATTCCTCTATACCACGCCGAGAGTAATCCCGTTGAACGAAAGAACCGCGAGTTAAAAACACAGTTTGCAATTTTTGTTCAAGATAACCATAGTTCCTGGGATATGCACATCTCAAGTATTCGCTTGGTATGAATTCAACTGTCACCGATTCAGTGGAGAAAACTCCTGCATTCTTAACATTCGGTCGGGAACTTCGAGCACCTCATGACTCTATCTATGATATGAGACAAATCGTTGATACAGAAAATTTCGTCCCCAGAATCACCCCTTATCTGAAGAAGTTATCAGATGCTCTGTATGAAGCACATGAAGTCATGATACAAAAACAAGATAAACGGAAGGAGCTCGTAGACAAAAGAAGACGAAATATATATTTCAATTTAGGAGATAAAGTATTAGTAAGAACACATACAAAAAGTTCTTCGGAAAAAAACTACTGCAGCAAATTTGCCACGAAACGTGATGGTCCATATGTCATTTCCGAGATCATCACGCCAAATTCCTATGAGATATCCACAATTGGGGAACTTCCTGAAGTACTTGGAAAATTTCATGCATCCGATATTTTTCCCTTCCATTCCTCAGAAGATGATGTACAATATAATCCAATAGACCCGAAAAGGAAACGAGGAAGACCAAAACATCTTAGAGTGAATCCTGAACTACCCACGGAGTCCTTAGTGTAGTCCAGAGGGGGAGAGTGTAACGAGATAGATCCTGTACTATTAATGAGATGGAGCTGATTTGGTTAACTTCCTGGATTATAGGGATATATGTTGAGAAGTCGTCAATTCTGATAGATGTTGTTATAATAATTATTGATTGAACTGTCTAATATATGTTGATCTTTTCATCAACTCTTGCAGTTATTCTGTAGAATTGAATCTACTAAAGGTTAATTCAAACACCAGGCATTGCACCCGTAAGAATCCTATACAGTAGGTACTTAGTATTTGTTATTGTTTATATTTGTAATTATTTGTATATATAATTTTTTTTTCTTGCAATCAT